AATTGAATCAAGTTCAACTTAAATTGTAAAAATCATTTGTGCCTTGAAAAAGTGATCATGCTCGAGATGTCGAGTCCCAGGTTGGGTTAAAGTAGTTTTCTGTTGTTCGGCATATGCACAGGAGTTAAGCATCTCTGAGCTACTTACATAAGATCTCTCTAGGATCAAAATTGAAAGAGTTGTAGAGCCTCAAGATGAGGGGCAGAGGAAGCAATTTTGGAGCGATATCTTGAGAACTCCTCAAAGCTACATCATCGCCTGTTCTCAGACGATAGCGTCAGGATTCGTAAGCTAGGCAGCACCCAGTGGATTTAGTCTTAATATGCTAACAAGAGCAAAAGGTTGCAGATTCACGCTGAACAGAACTCAGTTTCATCTGAGTTTGACACACTCTTGATTTCTACTGGACATATATTTAACTCCGATTCGTCTTTGCGTCAACTTGGCGATTGACGCAATGTGGGATAATTTAGAGATCGGTTGAATGGTTGTGCTTCGATTTCACATGATTGTATACTGTATATGTTAGCATCGCTTTAATTTGTCGGCAACACTGTCAAATACTAAGCAGCATCCAGTTAGCAATGCGTCAAGATAGGCCGCATCCAACAGTATGCTAGCATGAGGTTGTCTTGAGGATGTATCTGCGCCAGCTATGGCTCGACTTATGATGGAACATGGATTGACCAATATTTGAGTGGATTCTGAATGTAGCGAAAAGCTCACGGTTTCTACTTACAGTCAGTGGAAAGCAATGGCGTGAAGTCGACTACCGACTTCAGCTTCATCTGCTTCTCCGGCAGAGCGGCCGTTGGGCTCGCTTCCTCTCATGATCGTTGCTTGTAGTTAACACTGAAAACATATCAGCATGCAGGAGAAAGCAATCGTACTGTAATTGACTTTATTTTAATGAAAAGATCGAACAGTAGAAAATCAAGAAGAATTCACAAATTGTGCAAATTCAAAAAAAAGCTGAAATACAAAGCGATATAATACTGATACGATATAATACGATATAATACTGCATAGATCAAAATGAATACTGAATGATATGGCAGGTGGTTCGTAGCAGCAAAAAACATCTCGAATAAGTAACACGTGTACAATATATGACAATGGTGGCTTGCTCATGAAAGTTATCTGCAGAGCGGACAGGGACTTCTTAAGAGGGGAATGAACATGATTCGGTTTGATAAGCAAAACAAAAAAGAGCACTGTGACACCATCTCAGCTGAAGTGAGTGGAAAGTGCTAAAGTGGGCTTATAAATTTTCGATCTCAATCTTTAAAGACATGATGCATCTAACACTGAAGCGACTACCAAACGTCTCAAGCATGAGTAGTACATACGGGTATTTGTACACATGTATGACTACAAATGCTTGATATGACATGGATTTAACGTAGTCAGTGATTCCAAATCCCCATTAAGATTTCATGACGATAACTATAGGCCAGGCCGAGAAAATCGTGTTTTGTAAGAGGGCCACAAGGTTGCTCTATTCCTCAAGAGGAAGTGTAATCGATGCAGTTAATCAGGTGTAAAGGCGTAGAATGCTCCAGCGATAAGAAGCGTGAGAAATTCCTGATATCTCGAGGAAGGAACTGCAAAACAACAACACATAGGAACCACTGATCCCAAAGTATTTTAATGGGATGTTCATATGGGCACGTAAATGTATGTTACATATTAGTCACAAATAATGCTCTGAATAGTCTTTAAATGACTCCCCAAATAACAGAGGTTGTACTACTTTTCAAGTTGATTTGAAAGCCACCATTATCATTATGCAATATTATAGTATCATTGCATTTTTGTCACGATATAAAGTAACATATTATCAAAAATATTTCAATATAACATCTGAAGCAAATGGATCACCAACGTAATTAATGCTATGGACAGCAATTATGTTTTTTCAATGGAATTTTGGAAACTGAATATTTTCCAAAAACTGAAGCTTGATGTCATGCATAATATGAGAACATACTTTTTCCAGTCAAAATTCAGCTTAACTCCCGACTTTTTAAGTCGTTACTCAATAATATTGAATATTTCTTTCATCTTTAGAAGTCTTCGTGTGAAAGGTCATCAGTGATTCGGTGATTCATCTACTATTAGCACTTTGTTAGTGCTGAATTTTTCCATCTCATATAATTAGAAGGTAATACAGAAACTTGTAATTGATTTCGAGACGTCATCAAATTTTCCGTGATATTTTGTGACATGTTTCATTGGTGTAATTACAAAGGTCACAGAATCACTGCATAGTTACAATGGGCAAAGATTCGCTATCATCGAAAAAACGTGCAATTAGACGGATCAATGTTATATTAAACCGATTACACGAGTCTGATGATATCATAACGAGATTTTTAAGAAACTAATGCGTAGATTCTCATGAAATGATTTGGTTTATTCGAATATCTGTACATTGTTTTGCTAGCATCGTTCTACCGTTACCAGATTCCTGGGATCATTTTAACGCTACTATATCGTTTAATTGTGAGCTTTGCTTACAAGGAAAAGTCACCAAGTTATCTCTGCATTTCGAGACGAGTTCTCTATATCGTCGTATAGAGCTTCTCCAGCTGATCATAAATGTGCGATACAGTGGGGATACAATGGGGACGTGAGATATGTTAGGTACTATCAAATCATTGTACTATGCAATGATGCCGCAACTCATTGGACTTTGCTGCTGAACATTTTTTCGCATTAGCATCAACAAAAGTTTTTCACCAATGAATCATAGAATGACGGTGCTTCAAACGGATACCTTCTGAAAGTTTAGAGGGAAGTACAAAATCATTGAGTGGTGATTGAGAGAAAGTAGCTGCTTCAGAAGACTTTCAATCCAAGAAGTTGCTTATAAGATGTTCCTGATGTCAGTTCGGAGATAACTCCAGCAACGAAATGGTTTCCTCGGTGAGCACAGTGGAACTAAGCATAAGAGATGACTATTTTTTTTCAAGATATCTTCAAAATTTTACGATGAGCATTAATCAAGCATTCGTCACATTTTTGACGCGTCTCATGGTCAGAAACTTAACGAATCATCGGAGAATCTTTGTGGGACTCAAACTGCTAAACAGTTTGAATTTGTGCTCAAATGTGGAAGAGTCTTGAAATTCGTACTCTGAGCGCAGATCCAAAGCTGAACCGAGTGTGGATAAATGGGATAACATATAGACATATGAGATTCTGAAATTTCATGTCATTTGTTGTTGTCGTTCACTTCGTCGACAACTCAACGATACTTGCGAAACGCTCTAAACCATTTCCTACGAACAATCCATTGCTCACACGGTTTCACATTACGTCCATCAATTGCGTTCGCCATCATGTCCAGCTTTATGCCATTCAACATTATATCAGCTATACAACCAACGAAATTACTCTCATGCAACGCACCCGTCATGCTCTCCAAATCAGGTACACCGCCTGCAATTAATTTTTTTAAACCAGATTAGCAACTCGTATTGAATGAATCACACATTCAAATGAAACCAACTGACCTGCATTCTTCGAAAAACGGTAAGTTTGCTATTCAGCCATCTGAATCAAAGGTCTCCAAACATAAGCAACGATGCCAAAATCATGAAGGCCGAATGGCGTGGAGTGTTCGAAAAAAAGTGACATCTCAGTCACGACACTAGTGAAACAGTATGGTAATGTAACCACCAGCATGATAGCGAAAAACCAACCCAAGTAAATATCTCCATCAACATTCAACATCGCCAGGATACCAGATGAGTGTCCCTCGGTAACATCGCTATCGTCGACTATCATCGTACCTTGTCGACCCTTGCGAATCGCCTTTACCCGATGTTCTTTACCATCGTTTACCGGTTCCATACTGATAATCTGACCGGCACCCCCACCTAATTCGTATCTAAACATTTT